TTTGGAAGAGTATAACCTGGCACAATAGTGTGATGTAATAGAACTTACATAAGCTCTTAAAGATGTGCTCAGTGACAGCATAAGTAATCACTACTTTAAATGGCAATAAATCTTCTGCATAAAGTAAGACAGTATCGTTTAATTTTAAAAAAGAGTAAACAATTCTTTTCTATTCCCTCTCTCCCAATCCAATCCCATATTAGCCATTATCATTTTCAGCTATTCTGTTTTAAATTTTTTGAAAAAGAAATCCTAATTGGTTTTAAGCTCATCCTGGAATGAAAAATGTTTTTTGATCCTCCCTAAGATATTTTTAAGACAGGACATTATAGAGAAAACATTACAAAGATAGCTTTTAGTATAAATTAGAAGAACATGACTGATTATTCTGCAGTTCATTAAAAACAGCTTCATTTGATGGATCAGGCCGATCATAATGACAATTACATGGAAGTCGGCATTGCCTGAATGCTTGCTTGTAGTATTTCATCATGTTCAGATTTTAAGGCTCTTGATTTATCATTTGGAGCTAATTTACGTACAGATGATATCATACAAAGACAGACAAAAGAGGAGTTGTTCACTCACAAAATAGGGAGGAGACGATTAAGCATTGTTTTGTACAGAAAGAACCATATTGTGCATATTATGTTCTTTGTCACTGCCAGACATAGCACATTATTACCCCTTTAGCCTTATCACGCTGCACTCTTATGTCAGTATTATTCCACTTTAGTGGAGCTCAAAAACTCTCTAGTTGAAAATTAGTGCTATGGCAGTAAAAGTGGAATAATAGCAATTTAACAGTGTAGCATGATATGACCCCTTTCTTGAGGACACTTTCAAATGCAAATAAAATATAGAGTATAAAAACAGTACATATACTGAAAGTGCTATATGTATTCAGCCATATAGTACATAAATTTTCCTATTTTTCTCAGTTTCAAAGATAATATGAGAATTGCTTATTTATTTATTCCGGGATTAGTGGAACAAGTAACTCACTACAGGAAGAATTAGCGATCTGGGGACTGTATCAGAGAGCAATATGCAAGCCAATAATTACACACCATACCACAATGGTATTACAAAAATTGAAGGCAAAAGATATGTATACGATCTACATACACTGATTCATGTGCACCAACTCACTTTTAGAAATACAGTAGGTCCTTCACTTTCCCTAGAGTTAGGGCAACAGAACCTTTAGGAAAGTAGAAAAACCAAAAATAAAAATGCCATTTCTTTAACCTGAGTGAATACCTCTCCAGGAATCCTTAGGTTTTGGCAGAAGCTGACCATACAGTTGGGCTGGAGGACCTAGAGATTCTAGAAAGAACATAGTAATCAAGTCTCCTAATAATCAAATAAACAGAAGTTAAACTGTAAATGTATTGGACCAAGTGCAATTATTATAATTTTAATACAAGTGCAATAGGCTTCATCACAGCAAAGAAGACAGTGACCAAATGACCTGTTCAGTCAGCTGTCCAGGAATATATTGCTGGGTTCCCGATCTCTCTTCTGATCGGATTGAGATGGAATAACAGGGAACCGTCCTCCAATATCCATATATAGAGCTGTCCAGCTGTCCTCCCCATAAAAAAACCCTATGTTTTGTAAAATAGGACACATAGCTCAATTTACCACATATTCCTGAAGAAGATCAAGGTCTTAGATGTTGACATATGGCAGTAAGGCCTTTAGGTATCCCATTCCCAAAGTCTTTGGGGCTTTAACAGCTAAACCAGAACGTAAGATTGAGCTTTAAAAATAAGCTGGTAGCTAGTTAAGATCAAATAAAATATGAACATCAAATATGTTCCTGATGCCTGGTCTCAATTAACAGGATGGCAATAACGGTTTGTGCCAACTGAAATTGGCAGTGCTTTTCAATGATAACCTCAGCCCTGCACAACACAGCTATGTAATACCATGAAGTTATCAGATACTATCTGGTCTTGGAAGCTAAACGTAGGTTAGCTTCCAAGACCACCAAAGAATATCAGGTGCTGTAGACTCTATTTCAAGGAAGGAACTGACCAAGCCAAGTCATCATTCCTTGCCAAAGAAAATCCTCTGAAATGTATGAGGTCATCATAAATTGACAGGCAACTTGAAGGCACAGAGAGGGGAGGGAGACTGGAGGTAGGTCACTGGGATAAGAATAAACATGACAAGTTCCTATTTCCATGGAAGTTCTATCCAAGTTCCATGAATTATCATGTCAAGGAAGACTTATGGCAAACACTCTAGCTAAAGCTAGAGGAAAGTGACCTTATCACGGGCGCAAGATTTTGCTTGTTCAAGGACTATACTCATGTCATAAACCTTATATTTTAGGAGCAAAACCTTATATTTAGTAAGATTGACCCCAACCAATAGTGCTTGTGTCTAGTTTGTTTTGGACTTCAACAAGTCTTGGTCTTACCCATGGACAGTGGAGGAAATGTGAGTAGTCTCTTGGCTCTTTGCTTTTTTAACCAAAATGCACCTCTGAAGGACCGTACTACAATGAACTACAATAGTGTGAGAATGGGAAGATGCTTAATTCAATCCCCACGTTGAATCTCCACCCTTCCAAGCCACCTACAGAGAAGAAAACTCTGAAGAATGGAAATTTTAATCAGAGTGTTTGGTTTCATGGAAACATACACCCACATTATTCAGATTCAGTATACAATGAATAATGGCTGTATTTTGATTAACACACACACACACAATCCTAATGTACTTCCCACATATCAGCTACTCTTTCCTAATTAAATGAGGAGTTTGTGACCTAGGCAATATATGTGTGTATACAGATTGCCAGAGAAACAGCAACACCTGTGAAAATCATGGCTAAATTTAAATGATCAATGATTTTGACAGCCTGAACCCATTACTTCAAATCTTGACAGAGGATTTTTTTTTCATTTTAAATTATACAATGACTAGGGAGTCCTCACTGGAAAAATATCAAACTACTTTTCATATCCTGTGGCAACTACAGAATTTTGGGTTACCAAAATCACTCACAATTAACTATGTTCCAGCACACCAGACATAACCCTGTCCCAGGGAATGTTACCCTTCTAAAGCAATTCTAAATCAACCACATTCTACTTTAATGCAATATACCAGGAGCTCTTTCGCTGAAAAACTAAGTTAACCACAGGGATTTAGTTTCATTCAGAGGTCCACTAAATCTTCTGCTTCAAACTTCTACTATTTCCTTGGATACGAGTCTGGACCAAATGAAACAACCCATCTATACCTAGCTTCAAACTTGAACAACTGTATATTTTGAACTGTTTCCATAAGGAGAAGAAAATAAAAAAGGCCTTCAGTGATGCTAGCTGTGTGATTTCAACTTGGGGCTCATAAAATATAATAAGGTCGTTTTTACTGCCGATCCAGTTTATTAGCTAGTAAAAACAGCTTAGCATATTACGTTTCAGTGACACACATTTTCAAAGGGGGAACTGCAGAGCGGTATAATGTACCATTTCCCCCCGAAGTCACCCCAACATGATATTTCCTTGTGCCTTTTATCTACCAAACTTTTCTAGAGAACGAAAAAAGCACTCCTTCAAACACAAAAGAAAACAAATTTATTCAATCTGCCACAGAGTCTTAAAGTATTAAAAGCATCAGGTTCTTATGAAAAAAGAAATGAGTTTCCACTGTCAAGCATAATTAAGGGGAAATAAAAGACAAGCGAGGCCTTCTAATCAGTCGTACCTGCTAAGGAAATTCACCGTTCATCAAAATATCATGTGCATTTCATGGGGCACTGTTTAATAAGAAGGCTCCCAAGTATAAACGTAATTCAAGACACTATGCACAATAGGAATGGATCATATCTTCATCAAGATGCAACAGCTGGTTTAAAGCGCACACTGCCAATGTTAACAGCGTTAAGAGGAACGTTACAGTTAGTGGAAACTTAAGAGGAGGGTGAAGGATGGAAAAAAAATTGGCAGGTAGACAGCAGTAAAGTAACACTGGGAATTAGGCCAGGAAAGCAGGGTTAATACCCTACTGTGGGCAATGAAGTGGGGTGGGACAAGCCATAAGATCTTTAAACTCTGAATTATCTCTGTCCCACACAAAGGTATCATTATTCTATTAACAAGTATACACTTGTAAACTTGCTGACAAAAGAAATGCAGAATCATAAAACTTTTGATTAGATAAGAAAATGAAGTTGGTTTGGGATACTGCCCTTTGCAGGAGTTCAGTGCAATGTAGTTTTCATGTCGTGCGCTTTTAAAGTTGCGCACTTATCTTGTAATTCAGTTCCAAAAGTTAAGAATTCATGGGAATCACATCCCTTCTGATATGCCATTCAGGCCTTTTATCTGCTCTCAGTATGGATTCCTAACTGAAGAGGACATTTTTACCTTTTCTTTTTGCAAGTGGAAATGAAACATGATGATGGAGTGGAAAATTACAGAAGCCAAGACTCTACTTGAAAGCACAGCTCTAAGATGCTAAACACAGAAATCAGACCAATACTAAGCACTCTTGAGGTTTCTTTTGTTTTCCACAGCATGCGTTCCAAAGCACCCCTTCTGTAGTTTTACACTACCATCAGAAACACATTCCAACTTGCTAAAGGAAACACAAGTTTATTTCAATACAGAAGGACTGCAGGACAAGGTTAAATATTTGAATATTAAGTGAATTAGAATGGAAACAGGAAGTATTTAACTGAACAGAAATTATTTTGTTTCTAGGTTCTGCAAACAGCATGACTGGTTGTCCCTGATGCTAAGCACAACTTTGTTAGAAGAAGAAAAAAACCATCTCCTTGCTTATGAAGAGAGAACCAACAACCATGAACTCTTCTCCACATAAACAAACACCATATGTCAAAATTAGTCAGTTCCTTGGTTTTAATTGCCCAATATATTGCTACATTAGTGTGTACTCAATGGTGTTTCACCCATAATAAATGGCTGGTGTGTTTTCTGAATGTCTGGCCTAATCTCAGTGATGTTATCAACTCTTACCTGGGTCATCTTGGCAAGGTCCAGGGAAGGTCTCTGTTCCTTCACCTCTTCTGGACGCCGCCGTTTAATCCCCACTTTCTTGTCATTAAGGACACACGGCTGGGAACGGCTTCGGGAAAGCCCATTGGAACGCCTTGTCAACTCTGGGGTCGAGGCAGGTGTGCTGTTTGCCGAGGGCAGGCAATACTCCGAAAAGGAAATCTGATCATGGGAACAGGAGAGCGATCTCTGGATATCAATCCTGCTGCTTTCTATGGAACTGTGGTCACTGCCCCAGATATCGCTTGCCTGTCCGTAAGTGGCCGACCTCCTCATTCCTTGGCATGGCTGACATCCAAATCTGTTGCTAAATCCCGACTGGTCACAGAATGAGGAAAGAGGGTTTGACCTGGAAGGGAGGCTAAAGCTTGAACTCCTCTGCATGGTGGTGAATCCGTTGGAGTAGCGCTGGACACTTCCCCCACTATAGCACCGCCTTTTTTCTACAGGAGTCCAGACCTTTGATCCTATAGGTCTCCATGAAGCCCTGCAGCTAGACATCTCATCCGAAAAAGACAGCGACCGACATTGACGTTTGCTGGGAGGTGCAGAGGGGTTGCCACTGTGGTCACTGAGGCTGAGGTCTTTGATCAAATTGGTCACCGAGCATGTGCCAGCTGCCTCTCTCTGCCATATGGAGCTCTCTTTGCTTTTGTCTGGCAAGCAGTCCCAAATGTTGGTACTTGGCTGCTCGATCTGAAGGGGACACTTCCTGCTGAGATCTCTCCATCTGTCATTTTCTAGTTTTGAAATGATAAAATAATATACATTCATTACTGCCAATTAGTGTTATGCTTCACTTGCCACATCAACTCCCAACCCCAAAGCACCAAAAAAATCTAATGGGAGAGTTCACGATAAATTAGTTAATCCTTTGAATTGGGCTTGACAAGTAACTGATTTAGGATGGTGGGAGACACAAGTTAGTTGTCTGGCCAATTCAAGCAGCAGTAAAACAGGCAAGAACAGAACAGAACAAGCTGCAATGCATCTTTTCATGTATATTTTCAATGAATTCACATCTACACAAATAAAAATGTAATGTTTGTTTGTGGGATTAACGTAACTCAAAAACTACTGGACGAATTGACACCAAATTTGACACAATGCACATATCAGGCCAATGAGTGACCATCACTCATAAAAACACTGAAAAACACAGCAGAAAAGATTTTAAAAGCCAAAAAACAAAAATACATTACAATGCATGCACAAAATGACATATATATCTACGCAAACACACATATACACAAATATATGCACACACAAAACACATACAGAGACTGGGCCACAGCAACGCATGGCAGGGGACGGCTAGTTTTACATAAAAGTACAACATTTAAATGTAATGTTTTAATTTCAGTTCAAGAGTAAAGCAAGGAAAAAAAGAACCAGCGCAATGCCACTGATAAACAAATATTCAATACTGAATAAAACTTTTGATATTATTCAGCCTATATAAATTTTATGTAGTGCACAGCAGCTGCTAGAATCCCATGCCAAACAGATAGCAGAAGAAACTTTCCCATCTTCTCCTGAGTCCAATGCAGGCCACTGAAAATCCTATACAAAAAACAAGCCTGCTAAAATAAATAGGCTGTGAAGCAGAAGCCCAAGGGAAAGGAGGAAGGATCTCAGAACATCAGGTGGACTAGAATGTCCCACCCAACTGGGAAATATTTCCTATTTGCCTTCTAACACAATGGTGCACAACATATGGCCACCAAGAAGTCCTAACCAGCTTGTCCAATGGTCAGGAATACTAGGAGCTGAAGTCCAAAACATCTGGAGGGTCACAGGTTGTGTACCATTGCTCTAACACAACAGTCTTTCAATTCAACAAAGTAATCCAACCCTATGCAAGGGGATAAAGAGATGGAGGGAGGGTTGGTTGCCATACAAAACAAGAACATCGAAGTCTACCACATGTGCCCAAATCTGGACTTCATCCAGTGTTTTCTGAGGTTACCTGCCATTTTCCCTATACATCTGACTTTTCCTCCCACTCATACCACTCAATGTATGCCACAGGTGAGAAAATCTGCATCGGTTTCAAGCTGCAGGATGCCAGTTTGTGTATGCTAGTCATACTTCTCCTTTTGGGACACAAGAGCAATTCATGGAAACATGAACAGAAAGATGAACAGTTTATGCAATTTGGAATTCACATGAATCCCATGTGGACAGTCATGGTGGAAATAAAAAAAAAGAAAATGACTACAAGTCCAAAACACTGAGGTAATAAACTCATGCTAGTTTATTTGGGATGGGGAATCTTCTATTTGCACTTATTCAAGTAAGACAGAAAATAATCTATCTACAGCAGTTGTTTACTGAACTTGGGGAAACAAGCACATTATTTATCAAAGGGGTGCTAGGAAGTTGATTCCTTGCTAACAGCGAATTCTTGTTAATTTACTGGATGTAACGTAAATTACACATGGCACATCTTCATTCATATTTTGCAATGTAAAAAGTTACAAACATATCTAACCAAATAAATAATAATTAAAAATGAATGTGTGCGTGTGTTAAGAATCCTAAAACCACAATATTCAAAAAGGTCATATATATGGAGCTGAATACAAGTATGCTACTTGCATGTGTGTTATTTGTTGCCCTCCTATATTGGCATCTCCAAATAGCCGCTCACAGTGTTTAACAATCCAAACAATCTATTTGCAGATTCAGCTCTCCTTTCTATTTTTGACTGCAGCTTAGGTTTTCTTCACTTTAATGGACACAATGCAAACTCAAGAAATGCACATTAAAACAATTACATCTATGTTTAGATGTTGCTTATTTCCCCTGCCATATTAACTGCAGCCAACACAGCATTCTCAGGTCAGGTCACCAGACAAAAGAAACAGAAATAGAAGCTTGTTTTGTTGGCAAGCTGCCACGACCCCCAAGTTCTAGACGTCATATTTCTACAAAAGGCCTTTATAATTCTGTGCAAAAAGGTTAGAGGACACCTCTCTCTTTTCCCCCTTCATTTCTGCACAAGTTATATATGTTTAGAAGAGACTTATCAACAGATGGAAAGCAGGATCTTGAGAAACATTCTTCTTCCCAACCTTGAGCTTTGGAAAGTTTGCGGTTCACCACTCTACTACACTAGGGAGGGGTATTGAGAGTTCCCAGCAAGAAAGTTCTAGTGTTACATAAAACTACAAATCACAGGATTTCATAGGATATTACATAGTTGTTAATGTAGAATCACAGTATTATAATTGTGCAGTATGAAACAGCACTGCAATGCATGCCCGTACTTGTTCCTTTCCTCTGCAAGGCTGCCAGAGGGAGTTCAAATGTTCTACGATACTTCTGTTTTGGATAAGCCATTCCGAACATAAATAGAGGTTAATCTTAACAAGGGTCAATTTGTTTCAACTAGCTTCATCGATGACTTATCCAGGTTTATAAGATGGAAGCAAAAGCTTCTAATCTAGAGATTGCTAACTGGAGCTAATTATTAGGAGCGGACAACGCCCCTATTAAAACAGCTCCACTGGTTGCCAGTAAGTTTCTGGTCCCAATTCAAAGTGCAGGTAATCACCTATAAAGCCCTAAACAGGTTGGGCCCTGCCTCCCCCCATGCTCCTGCATGAGCATTAAGATTTGCTGGGAAGGACCTCCTCGTAGTCCCGCCACCGTCATAAGCACGGTTGGTGGGGACAAGGGAGAGGGGCTTCTTGGTGGTGGCCCCCTGGCTTTGGAATGTCCTCCCCAGAGAGATTAGGCAGGTCTCCACACTGTCCTCCTTTCAGAAGGAATGGAAGACTTGGATGTTTGGACAAGCCTTTGAGAATGTCTAACCCCAATGGTTCACAATTAATGACAGCACTGCACTTTCGTCCCATTCCCCTGTTCCTCGTTACGGTTGGCCATGTTTTATGGCAGTTCCCACCATAGGTTACTGGGCGCTATTTTGAGTTAAAATAATTATTTAATATGCTTGTGGTTTTATTTTTTATTGTATTGTGTGTGTGGTTTTTTTGTGTGTTGTTCCAGGCACATTGTGCCCTATGTAATCCACCCCAAGTCCCTTCGGGGAGATAGAGGCAAGATAAATAAAAGTTGTTGTTGTTGTTATTATTATTTGAAACACAACAAGGTTAGTACACCGCAAACAAGGTCACTCTGCTGGCTATTGTATTGGATCACACGTTGGACACTTCCCAAGTGTCTAGGACTGTGTGATGTATCGGCGAATAATGCATACAGATCCCAGTAGGGTGGCCTTTTGCAGCTGGTAATTTTATCAGCGCCAATTGTGTTTAATAAATAATAATAATAATAATAATAATCTTTATTTATACCCCGCCACCATCTCCCCAAAGGGGACTCGAGGCGGCTAACATGAGGCCAAGCCCAAAAATACAATGCAACACAATAAAATACAGAAAAATTACATCAGAAAATACTTAACAGTAGCAAAATAAAATAAATAAAGCAAATTAACACAATGTTTTATTTATTTATTTATTTATTTATTTATTTATTTATTTAGCTTGTATRCCGCCACWCCCAATTTGGCTTGGAGCGGTTTRCAGCAGTAGATTAAAACAATACAACCAACTTTAAAATACAATAAAAACTAGAACAGACATATAAAATCAAACAGAATGGGCAGGCCAAATGGATGAGATAAAATGATAAAACCTTGGATGAGGTAGGAATGGAAAATATGTAAGTGAGGGGACAGGCCAAGGTCTTTGGGCACTGCACCCAGTGTGCCGACCACCACTGGGACCACCTTTACTGGCTTGTTGTTGTTGTTGTTGTTGTTGTTGTTGTTGTTGTTGTTGTTGTTGTTATAGATGGGAAGGTATGGAGAAAAACTGGAAAAATTGGGAGGAAAAAAGACCCAGAAAATGAGGGTGGGTCAGAAAAAAGGGGGGGGACCACTGCCCCTCCCCCTCCAATTTTTCCGGGCCTTCCTATCTCTATTCTAACCTTCTCTTTGTAGTCATGCTGAAGAAGAGAAGCAAAAGAAGAGAACGCAAGACAACTCAAATCTGTAACGCCAAACTCTGATTGAACATTACATATTAAACTGTCCACAGTATTTAACAAAAACAGTCCTCCATATTTTCTTAGCCTGCTGAAACTAGCATGTATCAGTCCACCTTCTTTAGACCTAAATGCTTAATTTTATGATAGATTCCCTTTCCCCAGGTTTCAGATGCAGAAGTCTTTAGTGCAAGTTCACACCACCTCTACTAACCTGAAGTGAAGTACATTCAAAGCAATTTGTTACTATAAAATATTCATGCAGCCGCGCTAGTTCTACAGCCTCAGGCACTTATTTTAAGACTTGATTCTTTTGTTCTTCTAACAGGCTTTTTTGTGACATAGCAGAAAAGGCTCTGAACAATGTGTGAGCATGTAGTCCATCCCCTCCCTTCCCCTGAAATGCTAGCGGCTTGTGGGCTGAAAAGACACTGAAACTGGAACTACATCATAATTCAGAACAGGCTGCTTATTCAATTTTAGCATCTCACCTACATCTGCTGTGGTTGACAGCTATTAAAGCTTGTGACTTAAATGCGGGTGACACTAGCTTTGTTAAGTAACAAACCATAAGAAAGCAGCAGAGAAAAGCAGTGGATTGCATACTATTACTGGAAAGTGGTGCTTTTTTTCCCCCTCCCCTCTCTTTTTTACGTTTTTCTCCTCTCTTTCAAGAGACAAAGGAAATCAGAAGATTGGAACTGAAACTGCTTATGCATGAAAT